GGCCAGGGGGCCGCCGCGGCCCCAGTGGGGGTCCAGGGGGCTTCACCCCCTAGAAACCACGGATATTTGACGAATTATGGCGAATTTTTATTGCTTATTTGATAGGCATCGAGCTACTATAATATGACTTCATGTAGGCTATGTTTTCTAATGTCGAAATGAGCTTCCAAAACCAAAACATTTTGAATAAAACAAGAAACAAAAAGTATGCAATGTAACCATCTAATTTATTTTCAAATCCTCTTTCTTTAAAGTGAAATCCTACATTTTGGAAATTTTGCACAAAATCTGACAACCACGCTGTCAAGGTCGAGGTTGCTCCCCCTATCGCGATGTTTTCCAAGCATCATGATGCTATCTGAACGAACATTTGTCATAGAGAACGCAAATATTTTTAATTAGTCTCATTGAACTATTATCATTATTATTATTATTATTGTGATGAAAAGTTAACACCATAGTTTAATCAAAACAATATGGTGGCTAAACGAACATACATGTAATTTTTTTTATTTGTTTATTCCACGACAAAATTTACTCGTGGGGGAGGGGGAGGCGCTCTGGCGCCGCCTCTAGATTCAATAATCTGCTGTATCCCTTGCTGTGCCATTTTCGAAAGATGATGGTCTGCGACCTGTCGACCACACACAATAGGCCCTAATTGTAACTTAAAGGGCACTGGTGAATATTTATTACTTCGTAATTTGCATAACGAATTATTTATAAACCATGGCTTCCTACGATGTCATTATTTATATATAATGGCACTCTACCTCAACGGTTATTTGTATATAATTGGCAGTAACAAAACCATTATTTAGATATAATGACCTTGACACGATAACACATGTGCATTATATAATGAGTTTAAAGTGAAAGCATTATATACATATAATGGTTTTGCGACAGCTATTATTTATATATAATAAAATGTAAAAGCCGTTATTAAAGCCTTATTATATATAAATAATTGTAAGTTACTTTTCATTATTTATATATAATAATGTGTTACCCTTTCATTATTTATATATAATGAAACTAGTACATTTATATATATATAAATAATGTTTGGTTACCCTTTCATTATCTATATATAATGAAATCAGTACATTTATATATATAAATAATGAAAAAGTTAACGCAATTATTAACATAATCTTTTAGACGTAAATGCGTTATATATAAATAATGGGTGGTTAAATAAATTTTAATTACAACCGTTTGTTTATTGCTAAGTTATTAGCGACATTCACAGATACGTTGTTTCAGGAACAATCAGGCTCGGTATTGTGTTAAGTGTATTTATTTATTTATTTATTTGAACATACACCTTTGAATCGGTTGCACTCAATAGAAAATTGGTGCGTTCGTACAAAAAAAAAAACTGTAATGTAATAAATAATATTACAAAATTAAAGAAAAGTAGAAAAATATCATATGAAATTAGATGAGATCACATTTCACATCGCATTTCATACTCAGAAATATTTACAGGTCAACTGTAAAGTAAATGCTTAAAATAACTAACCTACAAAATATAAAATTTAAAGATGAAAAAGTCTTACAACAAAAAGATAATACCAAGGTAGACCTACTAAACTTAAGGAATACAGACTACGATGTAGAGTCCACTTGTGGTAAAAAAAAAATAAATAAATAAAATTTAAAAAAAATAAATAAATAAAAAATAAATAAATTAAAAAAAAATTAACATTACACAATTTGATAAGCAACAATACATTTACAGTAAACTATTGTTGTGAATTTTTTAGTTGTGAGCGTTTCTCCCAAGCATTCATGATGTATTTTTTACAGAAATTAGCACAAATAAAAACTGAATCTCCCCCTAAAACATATTGAAGTTTAATATCGTCATTTGTTGTTGAAAAAAGTGTCCATGTATCATAATCGTTACAGAGTAGGAGGTCATTTTCAAGATTTGTTAAATGTTGTTTTCTAACGATATTATAAGCGGGACAATTTAGTAAAAAATGCTTGGCATCTTCAATTTCTCCACTTTCACATAGGGTGCAAATGCCTGAAACATCATTTGACCATTTACACGTTTTACAATCAAGGGGTAGTGTATTAGATCTTAATTTAAATTTTAGGCTTGCCCCAAGAAAATTTGTTTTGTCCAACAAATATTTTTGTAATTTAGGAGAAACTTGAAGTCTTGAATAATTAATTAATGAAGGTTTTTGCAATAATTTATTTGACCACCCTGATTTATACCATTCTGATACATCACGTTCTACAATATTGACAGAGAAAAAATTACACATTAAATTATCAAAATCAAAAACATGATTATAAAAATCAATATCAGGACATTTTGCAAAAGTATCTTCACAACTAATAAGAAATTTATATTTTAAGATATTAAAGTCGCATTTAAGTTGAAGCATACATTTAAGCACTATATTAGGCCACCTGTAATTTTCCATGTTAATTAAGTGTGACATATTGTTGGATTTTATCACGTTTTGGGCAATAACATGCATTATCTAGATTGTTCATATTTCGCTGTTATTGATTATTCATATCAAAATACCATGGATAACCAAGCTTATCCTATGTTCTAGCTTGTTCATACGTCGATCGCTGTTATTGATTATTCATATGAAAACACAAATAATCAATTGAATTTGCCTTGCAAAACTTAATTTCAATTTCGCGTCTTACGGTACATTGCTCTGTTTTTGTATACATTATTTGTTTTTAATATTTTCTTTATGAACGCGTCAATTCATACGAGTGACGATGAAAAGGAGTTGTTTTTCAAATAAAGCATTATTATTAATAATAAAGGAGTATCGTATCATTATGGCCGGCTAATCGGACATTATGACGTCATCATACTGCCATCTGAATTAAAAAAACAAAAAAAAAAACAAAAAAAAAACCCAGTAGAACACTCCATATTTGACTGTACTACATTAAATGTTATTAAAGATGGTATAGTCAAATATTAGGGTCAGTCTTCATCGTTTAAGTGTGTATTGGAATAATTATAAAAATGGATCATAGATTAAACCAAAACACAAACTGATGCTTGATAATATGTACTTTGTATATATTCAATTCAATTTTATTAGCTACGAATGCCATCAACAAGGGCAATTACCCGCAACAACAATAATTATTTACAATGGTTATATATAAAATAAATACAAAACAAAATAATAATACAATTATTGAATAAAGAATTTTTTTGAACTAATGGACCAATTAAATTGTATTTAAAATTATATCAAATTATGGCTTGCTTAATATCAGAAGTTGTGGCGGAGAATGGGTCGATGTTTAGAGTATAACTTACGGATAGCGATTAAGGAATGGGAGAGCTTTGTAATCGAGACATTTTTGCATTGAATCGGGAGATGGGATGATTGATGACTTTTATTCAAAAACTAAGTTGAACAGAATTCAATTTACTGTACAGTTTCTGTTTAAGTCCTGTGTATAGAAAATATAATATTGTGGACAAATTTTCTATTGCAATTGTAAGGAATATTTAATTCAACCGTGAACAATTAGACCTCTGATACTATTCAACAAATTACCTTTCCAAACAAATTAAACTGTTCAGTAATTAAATATTTTTATTATTAGTATTTAAGTTAGTAGTTATTAAGTTGTGGTGTTAGTTATTTAAGTCATTTTATAACACACCTAATTTATTATTAGTCTTTAAGTTAGTAGTTATTAAGTTGTGGTGTTAGTTATTTAAGTCATTTTATAACACACCTAATTTATTATTAGTATTTAAGTTAGTAGTTATTAAGTTGTGGTGTTAGTTATTTAAGTCATTTTATAAAGTTAGTAGTTATTAAGTTGTGGTGTTAGTTATTTAAGTCATTTTATAACACACCTAATTTTTATTTTGTTATTTGATATTTTGTAATCTTAAGTGCTCTTGATAATTGATTATTATTATCTTTTTTATATTTATTCTACTTTATATTTTGGTTCTTTTTTTATTTTATTTTATTCTTTATTTTACTTTATTTTTTTAAATATATGCTGATGGGTAAACAACATATATTCTTAATGTAAGATCACATCACATACTTCTCAAGTTTAGTAAAATGAGTAACCAAGTCTTCGAATACCTGTGGTAAATACAACTTTTCCTAATACTTTGTCTTGAGTGCAAAATATGGGTTGCTTAAATTAATGGTACAGGATAAAAACAGCTGTGAAATTTCAAGCAAACCAGACAAGATCCAAATTTACAGGTCTTTTTTCTTTGTTTTAATTTTATAATTTATCATTAATCTGACAAGTCTGAGCTGTCTTGACACAATGAAACCATTGTCTAAAAGTAATTTTAGACAATGTTTAGGCCTGTGTATTTATGGGTCTAGGCCTAATGATAAATTTACGTTGATTTTTGGTCTATTTCTGTACGTCTGTAAATAGGTAAAATGCTGGATGTGGTTGTTATATTTTTTCTGCTTTATCGTTATGTATTTATAGTTGTCTTTCATCTTATACAGTATTAATTGACAAGGGCCTATTTTAGGTGTGTTACAAGTTAACAATGAATGTCTTGTGTTTGTGCACTGGGTGAGTAAAGACAATGGACTGCTCCATTTGGCTAGGAACTGCCTCCCGAGTGGGGCAGTCCATCTTTCCCTCATGGGGATTTTCTTCCAATTGTACTCATAAACATTCACTATTTATTCATTTTTTGAATACTTGTATATTTATATTGTATTTTGTGAGGTATTATTTGTACTTTGGACGGATGCACCTCTAGATGGTGTTTGCCACTCAACCAAAAGTGTTTTCGAATAAAGTTGAAAGTTGAAGACCATGTTCAAATTGAGGCCTTGGAGATGCCTCCTTTGAATAAATGGCCATGGCGTTAATTTTTCCTGTAAATAAGAGTCCCTAAATGATTGTAAACAAATCTAATGGAAAGCAACATCATTCTACAGCATTAATATTCTACTCCATTAAAATTACATTTTTTCTAAACTGGTTGGGATCATTAAGTCTTCATGATCATGCAGTAACACATTTTGATGGTAATTATGTATTGTAGTTTTTCATTTACAGTGGAATTAAAAGGTTTATATTTGAGTATATATATGCATCCACTTAACACAAAAAAGAAATAAACGCCATTTTCAAATAAACACCCCTCAAAAACCCCTCTCAACAATAAATTCCCCCAGGGCGTTATTTGAATAAAGATGGTAGTTTAACCAACTAAATTACGATCTCCATCTAAAATCATACAAACGTTTATGATCAATGAAGAAATGCATTGTGCATGTGACCATGTCAACACTTGGTATTAGAGCAGCTCTATGCCTTGATGAATGATCTTCAAATTGGTTTTTCTCTGCCCTGTAACACCTCATCAGATTATTTAGCCAACAGTCCAGCTCATCAATTTCAGCTTGGACCAATAAGCACTTTCAAAGTTTCCATCTGAAAAAAAAAAAAATATATTATACAAATATTTACTGGGTTTTAATCTGGTCATAGTTCAAAATAGAGCCAGAGGTGATCTGGAGGCTGTGCTATATCCCGAGACAAATTCGAGGGACATAGGACATCAACAAGGGCTATATTTTGAACTACGACCCGATTAAAACCAAGTAAATATTTGTTTTATATACCAATACATAGATTGTAGGCATTAAAAGGCACAACTGGAACTATTGCCCAGATTTTAACCAATCAAATGCCTGGAATTTATGTAGTCAGTATATAATTAAATTTAAATAAGATCTATACACTACAGTGCACATTTTATTTAAGGTACTACTAGAAGCATTCTTTTCTCATTGGATACAGAAGCAATTCATGCACAATGTACAGCCTCCTCCGTTATTTGGGATTCATTAGTAAATATGCAAGCAATCAACAACTCTACCATTTTCTTCTAGATCATTCACCTCCACCAAGTACCCATTTATACTCCTGGGTGAAGTCAGACAAGAGCAGAAAAAGTGGCTTTGTCCACGGACACATTAAATAAGACCAGCATTGGTCTCAAACTGACAAAATCTTGATTGAAATCCCAATGACTAAGACTGTGTCTCTGAAACAACAGTTGTAATTTTGTGGAAGCATGCTGTAATGAAGGTAAAAAAGGTAGTGTATAAATATACACAGCCTGAACTGGTTGAGAAGAGGTGCAATAGTCCTCCTCCCTTAGGTGTAGACATTGTTATTTTCCTAAATGATGGCTAAACATTCTAATCAAATTCTCAGATCACCACAAGTCAAAACAGTATACAAGTTCACTACAGAACATTTTTTTCCAATATTTAATTAGCAATTGGAGGAGACATGCAGGAGAGGAGCACAGAACAGAGAAGAATGGCAAGTCGATGAAGAGGCTCTCCACCTGCAGTGGAGCGAAATGGCTAGATGATGAATTAGTAATTAAAATTTAAAAATTAATGTACACTTATAGCAATTCACAAAAAGTTTACCTCTTCTTCTCGTTTCTTCATCTCCACCAAGACTTCATCCAATTTTGATTGGAATCGTTGCTGAAAAATAAGATTCACTTTAAGCAATCGTTTGTATGAGTAGGTTTTACTCGCCTCCGCCTACTCATCACATGTTATGCTACCAGACAAAGGGGAGGGAGGCAATTGCCCAGCCAGCACAGTCCACCTAATTTTCTTTCTATTTAAAAAAAAAAAAAAAAAAAAAAAAAAAAAAAACCTAAGTCGTAGCTGGCGACAACTTCTGGGAGAAGAGCCGAACAACGAA